TTTGCAGGGAGCTGTTGTTCCCAAGCAAATGCTTAGGGTGCTTGATGATACTCAGTCATGTTGTGCAGGTTCAACTGTTCAAGGCAAACAATCCACCCTTTGGAGGTATCTCCCTTATCGTCAAACAGCTATTTTTATTTCACTTTTTTGTTTTTTTGGGCCACACCTGGTGATGCTCAGGGGTTAGTCATGTTGTCTCACTCAGGATTCACCCCTGGTGGTGCTGGGGGACCATATGGGATGCTGGAGACCGAACCGGAATTGGCCACGTGCAAGGCAAATGCCCTACCGACTGCTCCAGCCCATTATTTCACTTCTTGATGTGCACATTCTACCAACACTTTCTAGACTTAGCTTACTGAAAAAGAAGGATTGAGAAACAAAGAAGCAATGGTAATACCATCTTTTCTTTTCATTCTTTTTTTTTTGTAGGAGTACTGCTATTTATTCAGCCACTGATTAGCTGATTGAATTGGGCATGAACTCCACCTTAATTTTTTTTATTTTTTTCCTTTTTATATTTATTTATTGAATCACTGTGAGAAAAGTTGCTAAGCTTTCAGGTTTAAGTCTCGGTCATACAATGATCAAACACCTCTCCTTTGACCAGTACTCATTTTTCACCACCAAGAACCCCAGTATATCCCCCCTCCCATCCCCTCCAAATGCCTGTGAGGCAGATGATTTCTACTTAACTCTTCTCTACATTGATTACATTCATTATTTCGACAAAAGATGCACCATTATTGTTTAGGATTTCCCCCCAAACAATAAGAATTGCTGAAAAGGCATTGTGAAATATTTTGTTTTCTATAGCTGGTTATGAGAATCATAGAATGTCACGCGGCCACGCAATTTTGGATTTCTGCAAAGAGCCAGATAATTATGAGATTGGTTTCTGTGTGTCTGGTGTTATGGCCGTGCCGGAGACCCGCTCATGGGGAGTAACTTGTGACCTCAGTAGGGCGTGAAGGACGTGCTGGTATCGCCCCCCTTCCCATGAGACTGCAGTTGCCCCATCATCGCCGGCTCATACCTGGCTTTCCAATACGCTCTGAGGCGGCAGATACCTTGCTGCCAGGGGGGAAAAAGGTGGAAGGGAGCAACACCCTTTCTCTCCTGGGGAGGCATGGCGCCCTAGTTTAACGCATGCTCCATTCACTTTTTTGCCGCAAGCTGCCAGGCTCTGGATTAAGTCCTTTTGCCTCTGGAGCCATGGCCATTCCAGAGAGCCGCTTGTGGGGGGCAACTCATGACCTCGGTAGGGCGTGAAGGACGTGCCGGTACTGCCCCCTTCCCATGAGACTGCAGTTGCCCCGTCACCACCGGCTCATACCTGGCTTTCCAATAAGCTCTGAGCTGGCAGCCACCTTGTATGCAGTCCAGATGCAATTCTGCCAAAAGCCACTGGGTTTCAAGATTTGTTTCTGAGTCTCTGGTATCATGGCTATTAACCAGCTTGATCAGGAGCCAAAGAGGCCGTTTGTAGGCGGCGACTCGGGGTCTCGATGGGACGGGGAGACAGAGTCAGCTTCACCCCCATGTGGTGAGGCCCCGTTTGTCTCGTCACTGCAGGCCCAAACCTGACTGCCCAGTGGCCTCTGGAGGTGATCACCAGGCCGCCAGGGGGAACAGGCCAAGGCACGAAACCTATTCGCACCTGGAGTGGCCCAACACCAGTAACCTACTGCAGGAACAGGACACATTTCTGCCAAAAGCCTTTGGGTTCCGAGATTCATTTCTGAGACTCTGGGATCATGGTTGTTAAGCAGTTCGATCAGGAAACAGAGAGACCATGCCTTCAATTATATAGCTGAGCCGGAGGTGGTTTGTGGGTGTCTCCCACGTACCTAACTTTTGGCCGTTTGCTTTCTTAGTAAACTTTGCCCCAAGTTTTTGGGGTCTGGCCAAAGGCACAGCAGCAATTTTGGGGTATCTGAAAGTCTGACGTTGCCATCAGGCTGTTGATGCATTCACCTCACAGGTACAGAGTGACCTGCTGGTGGCACCATACCCCCAGCATCTTTTCCTTTCATTCTGTAACTGTTTATTATTAAGTAATATGAGAGTCTCCCAAGTGGTGTTTAAGAAACCCAGTGGCCTGGTACTCAGAAGTCTTGTGGCCCTTCCCAGCAATTTAGGTCCACTGGGAAACAGTTTAATGCAAGGGTTCATGAACGCAGTGCTACAAAAGCCCTGTGATACCAGGGATTATTATCCAGGCTACATCCATGGTACTTGGGAGATTATGTAGGGCCAGAGAATAAATTGGGGTCAGCTACATGCTTATGCGAGTCCCATGACCCCTGTACTATCTTTCTGGCCCTAACTTTGTTTTCTAATCTAAGTGCTTGGTTAAAATTGAGAGATAACACAGATATAAATAGGAATGTCTGGTTACTTGTGTCTGAAATCTGTAGCTTCTTTCAGCTTTTACGGTAAGTTGGAATTGGTAAGAAAAGCTTGAACTTTGTGGCTACCCAAACCTTTATCCCCATTTCTTTCCCTAGGTCATAGATAAAACATGGTTACTTGCTGTAGTAGATGTTGGTTTTGAGTCTGGTCTAACTTTCATGCATTGTAGGTCCAACAGAATTTTACATTAATACCTTTATGGTAGATGCAAGTGGTTGGCAAATAAGGCGGGGGGGCCACTCATTGTGTACATCACTTTGCTCATGCTTCACTGCACACTTGCTTATAAAATATATGAAAAGGAAAATTAAGAATTTTTAAATGCTCACAACTGAGCATTAAACCAAGTGCAGTGTTTTCTGAGTGTAGGGTCCTCTGTGTCCCAGTTGCATGCCTATGGAACCGACTCTAGTTTAAGAGTTCTGATTCATCTACAGTATGTCATTTGCCAACCTCTTGATTTCAGCCATTGGTGGATGTGAGTGAGATTTTAGCCATTTCACTGTGGCTTTCATTTGAAAGTCTGATCATTAATGATGGTAAATATCTTTTTATGTTCATTAAACACTGGGCACACATGCATCTGTACAAGTGTGAGAGATTATTAGCTGCCTACCATTTATTATTGTTAGCTGCCTTTTTTCTTCTTGATTTGTAATGATTATTTCTATATTCTGGGAAGGAGCATTATGTTGATTACATGTGCAGCAAACACCTCCCTCCTCTGACTTAGTCTTCACTCCTGTAGTGTTTCAATCACTAGAGCCACCTACTTTTAATATAATTTGAATTTTAATGTAGGTCATATTGGCAATTTTTCTCTTTGAGGTTAACAAACTTTGCATTTGGTTTCATAAATCTTTGCCTTTAAGTTATATAATCTCCTATATTTTCCCCTCAAAGTTTGTTGTACCTTTGCCTTTAAATATTATTTTTTTGCATTTAACATTTAGATCAACAAGTCATCTGGAATTTACTTTTTCAATTGGTAATCTGAGTGTCATGGAAAAACTGGGCACTGGGAAAATATGAGTAGATAAAAGCAAACTTGTAAAAAAAAAACTCCAGTCCCGGGGATTATATTAATTTGGGAATATCACACCTATTTTTACACTTATGTGAAGTAAAAATATTCATATATTCTATTTGCCATCATCGTTTTTTATATAGCTACAACTAACCATCTCCTTTCTTTCCTGTCTTTGCTCATGACACTGCAATACATTCTACATTCGACCTTTATGCAGTCTTGCTCTTTGCCAAATGTCCTCACCTTGAGAAACTACCTACATTATTCCTCTCTTCTCTGCTTGAGTTGTACTTGTATTCTAGAATAAGAATTATATCCTTCAGAAAGTTGTGTTACTACCAAACGTTTATAGAATGTATGATGCTCAGGACTTTAATTTCAGCAGTTCTACAGGTGAAAGAATTAAAAAGAATTGCTAAAGAAAATCTGACAAACGTATCACCTCGGGGAAAAAAAACTTAAGTCTTTTATTCAAGTGGTAAAAATACTGGTCATTATTCTAGATGCTGCTCATTGTTCTAGATGCTAGAACAGAAGACAAAATAGGCGAATATCCTAAACTCATGGGCTCACTTTGCAGACTCCGTATTTGTTCTCATCTAGCTTTTCTGCAGCAACCTAGGAGAGTAGTCTCTGATTTAGCTAGTAGACTGAAGCTTTGGAAAGGGAAGAACTAATCATCGGATCATTCACAAACATCCTGCTATGGACATGCTAAATTATTTCAACTATTCACGTAAATGCGGATCACTGTCATTCCATCATTTGATTCTGTGTCCTATTTGTAACCCTAAGTAAAACGTTGTTTGTAATTCAGTTACCAACCGACAACCTCATAATCTCAATGATTCATCTCAGTAAAATACTACTGAGTGCCTCTGTTTGTGTCATTCTCTAGTATACCAAAGTTCAAGGCGTTTTCTTAAGATTATTCCTGCTCTCCACAGTTTATTATTTCACAGATTATTTCTGCTCTCCACAGTTATTTCACAGATTATTCCTGCTCTCCACAGTTTATTATTTCACAGATTATTTCTGCTCTCCACAGTTATTTCACAGATTATTCCTGCTCTCCAGTTTATTTCACAGATTATTTCTGCTCTCCACAGTTTATTATTTCACAGATTATTCCTGCTCTCCAGTTTATTATTTCACAGATTATTTCTGCTCTCCACAGTTTATTATTTCACAGATTATTCCTGCTCTCCACAGTTTATTTCACAGATTATTCCTGCTCTCCACAGTTTATTATTTCACAGATTATTCCTGCTCTCCACAGTTTATTTCACAGATTATTTCTGCTCTCCAGTTTATTATTTCACAGATTATTTCTGCTCTCTACGGTTTATTATTTCACAGATTATTTCTGCTCTCCACAGTTTCTCTTTCGATAACGCCCCGGAAAGCAGCCCACTTGGACCTTCAGCGACCCGGCCCGCTCCGGCCTTGGCCTTTGAATCCTCTGAATCCGCGCGCTTCCTCTGCGCCCCCTAGCGAGGCGCGCGAGCGCGATTGGCTGGGACTGTGCGCCGCGGCGCCACGCAGCTGGTCGGGGCTGGGCTGCCGGAAGTCGGGCGAAGGCCGTCCGCGTCCGAGTCGTCAGTCTCCCGAGTCCCGCGGGGGCTGGCTGGGGCTTGTGCCGCAGCCATGGACGGCCCTGACCCCCGCTACCCCTGCTCTTCCATCGAGGATGACTTCAACTATGGCAGCTGCGTGGCCTCGGCCAGCGTGCACATCCGAATGGGTACGTGTCCCCTTTCCCTGCCGCCTGCCGGTCCTGACGGGAGACGGACGGACTTCCGGCTCCCGACAGAGCCGACCGTGCGGTCGCCCCGGCGGGTACTCGCTGAGCGCGCCGCTCCCCAGGGGGTCCGGACTTCCGGTTCCCGGCGGAGCGGAGAGCGCGCGCGCCGTCGGGTACTCGGAGACTCTTCCCCCCCTCCCCCCCCCCTCACACACCCCGCCCCGCGCCGCTCCCCAGAGGGTCCGGACTTCCGGCTCTCTACGGAGCGTCAACTGTGCGCACTGCGCTCGCCCCGGCGGATACTCGGAGACTCCCCCCCCCCCTTCAGCGGTCCCGGGGCTCGCGCGGGAACTTCGCTCCCTCTCCGGGATTTTCTCGCGCGCTGGGAAACCGGAAACAGGAAACGGCGCGGACTTGGGAAGCAACTTTAAATATTGACGCGGCAACTTTCGACTGTGCTCAGGGGTGTGGGGGCTGAGCTTGGTCCCGCGTCCGCGCCCACGCCCACGCCCACGCCCACGCCCACGGGAGAAGGGGTGCGAGCCGGCGCCCCGTCGCTCCGCCCGCAACCTGAAACGATTCCAGAGAGCCTCTCTGGGTCACGTTGGCCTGGAAACTGTTGCTTGCGGGATCCACCGGGACGGCCACCACACACTTTCTGACGAGGCTGACGGGAGTTGGAGGGGTGGGGGAGCCGCTGCTTTTTGCTCCCGTCTCCCTGACAGGACTGGGAGGCCGCTGCGGGCGGGCGCCCTGCTCACCCGCCGTTTTCCGGGGGCGCTGCCGTTCTTTCCGTCTCTCTGAGCGCCACGTTTGCAGTTCTGCAGAGGGCGGAGAAGATCCTGAAAGTCGATCGCTCCCGGACTTGGACCGCGGTGCCGGTGGGCTGACCCAGCCGGTGCTTCTCCGCCCCGGGAAACCGCCCCAGCGTTTCGTCCTGTCCCGGCAGCTGGAGCTGAGTCTGGAGAAGGGAATAGGGAGATGGAATTGACCGAGAACTTTGAGCCCTGGGGACTGCAACTTATGGGATGCTGCGTGCCCCAGCACCCCATATGTTGCCCCGAGCACTACCGGGGGCGGCCCCCCAAACAAAAACACACCAAAGGTTTGAGCCCCGACAACCCTATTTCTGGGATTGAGTTTTGGAGTTGTTTTGGCAAGTGAGTTCCGTTCTTTTAATTACGGAATTTTAATTGGAGGTCTGAAGAGAGTACAGAGTGTAGGGCGCTTTCCTTGCACGCTGCCTGGATTTTAACCCTGATCTCCCTGGAGCACCGCCAAGAGTGACCTCCGAGCATCCCCCTTCCACCCCCCCCCCCCCCAAAATGTTTTTCAGAGGTAAAATACACAACAGTTTCCATCCTAACGATTTTGAGGTCAGCAGTTCAACAGGTTAAGTTTTTTAACGGTTGCTTGGCAAGCAGCAAACCGCTAGAATTAATTTTTGATTGTAAGACAAACCATATTCATCAAACATTTCTCCATTTCCACCTTCCCATCAAACACTTTCAAAGCTTTTTCCATTTCCGCTGGCCGTTGGCAACTGCTGTGTACTTTTTGAAAATTGGCGGTCCTAGATACCTCATATTGGTGGGAATCATGATGTCTTTTTAATGACTTGTTTCAATTGGCATGTTTTGAGCTGTTGTAACATATGTTAGAGCTTCCTCTTTTAAGTGAGTGAGATCCTGTTGGAAGGATAAACACGTGTGTTCATTGATCTATTAGTGGATATTGGGAGTGCTTCCACCAGGATCTCACTTCTTTGGATATACAGCCCAAAGTGGTGTTTCTGGATCTCGTGCTTTCGGAGAAAAACTTGATCTTCCTCTTCTGAGTAGGGTGGAAAAAAACCAGTTCTTGGTCCTCCATGACCCATACAGAACTCTTTACAACTGACTGACACTTCCTGTCACCAAATGTATGTGGACTTTTCCTGTGACATCAAACGTTTCTTCATGACTTCAGTGGATGTCCCACAGATTAATTCAGTAGAACTCTTCAGTTACTATCTACCTAGGGAGATCATTTCAGACCCTGCAGGTTGAGGGCTCAGGCCCACCTTTTGGCTTCCATTCATGATTTCCTGTTGCACAAAGGGTAATTCCCCAGGCTAGCCACAGCTTGAATACAGATTGGAGGGTCATTGTTCCTCTCCTCAGACTTGCTTAATTTGCTAGATTGGCTCACAGGACTCTCTTAGATTTAGAAACACTTCTGTTTGTCCATTTACTGGTGGACACAAATGGCCAGCTATACATATAAAGGAACATATGTGTAGCTTGTTTGGTCCTTGTCACTGCAAACAGAAAACAAACCAACCCAGATTGATTGATTGCATTGATCACTTTCTTTTCAGGAGAGTTGTTTATTTTTCTGTTGAGTTTTAGGGTTTTGTTTTGGTTTTGTTTTTAATACTTAGCAGTCTTTGCTTTTGGTTTTGTTTTTAATACTTAGCAGTCTTTGCAGATATCTTCTCTTAATCTTTGGTTTGTGTTATTTTGACTGTGTCTATTATTATTGGGGAGGATCTCAAGCAGTGCACAGGTTTGGCCTGATAATACTCTACACCTAAGCTAATGCCTGAGGATGCTTTGCTGCTTGGGCTCTTTGGTGTGGTGTCTGAAGCCACACGGGTGATGCTCGAGGCCATTAGGGCTACTACTCTCAGTGGTGCTGGGGATTGAGCTAGACTCCTGATCCTGTGCTCTCCCTCTGTCTATTTTTAATTGAGTGATTTATTTTTGTTGTTGAGTCTTAAGAATTTTTTTATTATCCTAGTATTAATTTCATATATATGATTTACTTATTGCCTCCGTTAATAGATTGTCTTTTCTACTGTGTCTGTTGAAACGGTATTTTTTGATGTAGTATAATTTTTTTTTAATTTTTTGCTTAAACAGTCTTTAATAACATAGAAGAAAATGTAAAAGTCAGGGTGTCTTAGGACTGGAGAAATAGTACGTGGATTGGGCGCTTGTCTTGCACGCAGCCAAGTTGGATTCAATTCCTACCGCCCAGCATGGTTCCCTGAGCCTTTCCAGGAGTGATTCCTGAGCACTGTCAGGTATGGTCCCAAAACAGAAAAAATAAGAATTTCCCCTCCCCCCCAAAGAAAAACCAACCAAAAATCATATAAAAAGCCAGGGCTGGAGCGTTAGTATAGCGGGTATGGTGTTTGCCTTGCACATGACTGACCCGGGTTCGATACCCAGCATCCCATACGGTCCCCTGAGCACCGCCAGGAGTGATTCCTGAGTGCAGAGCCAGGAGCAACCCCTGTGCATCGCTGGTTGTGACCCCCCCAAAAAAGTCAAGGTCCCTTATCTATTTCTTGCTGCAAATCTGGTGCTTTATAGTTTTGAAGTCACTTCCAGCTGTGCTTACTCCTGGTTCTGCACTCAGGGATTACTTTGATAGGCTTGGGGGGGGGGGGGGGGGGGCAAATGGGCTGCCAGTGATCAAACCCAGGTCTGCCATATGCAAGACAAGTACTTTCCCCCTGCGCATCTCTCTAGTCCCTCTAAATAAAAAGTTTTAAGAGGGATTTTTTTTTCCACTTCTGGGTCATACCTGGCAATGCTGAGGGGTTGCTTCTGGCTCTGTACTCATAGATCACTCCTGGTGATACGTGGGGACCATTATAGGCTGGCTGTGTGCACCCTACCTGCTGTACTATCTCTGTGGCCCAAAGCCTGATAATGTTTTTTTTTTTTTGACATGTACTTTTATTTTTTATTTATTTAAAGTTTTATTAGTGAAACACCATGAGGTACAATTATAGACTTACAAATTTTTGTGCTTGGGTTTCAGTTATACAATCCCATCCCTCCACCAGTGCCCATTCTCCATCATTTACATTTTTTTTTTAAATTTTTGTTAGTGAAACACCATGAGGTATAGTTGTAGATTTACAAATTTTTGTGCTTGGGTTTCAGTTGTACAATGATCAAACACCCATCCCTCCACCAGTGCCCATTTTCCACCACCACGGGTCCCAGTATCCCTCCCACCCCCCAACCCCCCATCCCCTCATCCCACCATCCCACCCTGCCTCTGTGGCAGGGTACCCTTTTGTTCTCTCTCTCCTTTTGGGTGTTGTGGTTTGCAAAAGAGGCATTGAGTGGCAATAATGTTTGGTCTATAGTCTACTTTCAGCATGCTTCTCCCATCCTGGGAGGATCCTCCCAACACCCTTCCTTTATTTGGTGCTCCTTTCTCTATCTGAGCTCCCTTTTCCCCTAGAATGTGTGGCCGGCCTCCAAGCCATGTAGCAAAATTCCTGGTACTAATCTCATCCACCCTTGGGTGTTAGTCTCCTATTTTGTTACTTTATGTTCCCCAGATGAATGCAGTCTTTCTATGTCCATCCCTCTCTTTCTGACTCATTTCGCTTAACATGACACTTTCCATGTAGTACCACTTGTATGTAAATTTCATGACTTAAATCTTTTCTAACAGCTACATAGTACTCCATTGTGTAGATGTACCAAAGTTTCTTTAACCAGTCATCTGTTCTCGGGCACTCAGGTTTTTCCCAGATTCTAAGCCTGATAAAGTTTTAAACAGTACTCTACTGATCAACAGTTTGAAGCATGAGGCTCTCTTGAGAAAACTCTGGTTTGCAAAAGCTGTCTGAGAACATTATCATAAGGGTTATTACAAGAAATACTGATGTTACAAATGTCATCATCTCACACCCTACAGGTCTTAGGAATCTGACCTAATCTAGAACAGGCAGGCCATATTATAGCAGTCAGTTCCAATATTTCACCTATGTGAACTCAGGGACTACTCTTTTTTTTTTTTAAATGTAGGAGTACTGCTATTTATTCAGCCACTGATTAGGCTAATTGAATTGTGCATGAACTCCACTGTAGTACAATTTTGGCTTTAGTTGTTTGTGTATTTGATGTCACATTCAAGAAATCATCCAGTTTTTCTCCTGTTTTCTCAAAAGCTTTGGATCTTCTTACATTTAGTCCTTTAATTCATTGTGA